CCAAAAACTGACGGTGACAGGAGACATTGATCCGATTGCGGCCGTGAGGAAACTGAGGAAGCTATGTCACACTGAGATCGTCTCCGTGGGGCCGGCAAAAGAGCCGGAGAAGAAGAAAGAAGAGCCGAAGAAAGACCAGCCGAAAGATGTTATAGTGACGTACCCGTACGTATATCAACCAAAGACCAGCCGAAAGATGTTATAGTGACGTACCCGTACGTATATCAACCGCCGACGTCCCAATACTACTATGCTCCGGTACCCAACTCTTACAGTTACGGTAAAAGTATCGAAGAATATCCGGCTGGTTGCGTTATCTGCTAAAACTTTGTTCTTTATCTACGATACAATTTCATATACATAATAGATGCAGTACTTAATGATGAAGAAGATGAAAAATAAATTTGGGTTACTGTTTTTTTTAATGTAATTTTCATTTTGTACAGTATGGTGGGTTTATTTAGTTTGGCATTTTGTACTTTTTTTTCGCAAAGTAATGGAAAAAAATTCCTATTAGTGTATTTTTTTAATGTTTTCTTTTTGGAAAATCTTATGATTTAGAAAATAATTGTTTTGGTTGAATTTAAACTTTAATTCCATACATCGTACAAAAGTAATTCTTTACTTTTATATTTGATATATACAATTAATATATGTCCAACCAAAATCAATTATTATAATTTAATATCAAATTATTAGTTAAAAATCATTTAAATCTAAATTATGATAAAAACAAATAAAATTCATCACATTTATAAATTCTTTATATGACTTTTTTATAACTAAAGAAATACATAATCTCCTAAACTATGTTACTCAAGTTACAGTCTTTTTCGAGCAATATATCATATAGGTCTACTGAAGTCTGAAGATATTGAAACCATGTAACATCGTGCATTACCATCCACCGTTGAATATCCAATTTTTTTAATAATACGAGAATGATTATTGATTATAAAATAATATTTATTTAATTTTTTAATTAATTAATAATATATATTTATTCTACAAATACAATAACTTAAATATGTATTTTCTATAATTTTTTTTATTATTGGGACAATTTAATAAGTGTTCTATTCTTAAAATATTCAATGATAATATAAACGGATTAAATAACTTTCGGATTTATTAAGATTAGGGATGGTAAATGGGTACAGTTTCGTGGATTCCGCACCGCATTCGCTCCAATTGGAGCGGGGATGGGTATAATTTTAGCGGGTAGTGGGCGGGTGTGGATTTATAAAGTGGTACCCGTCGTGGGTGGTGGGCGGGTAATGGGTTTGAGACATTACCCGCCCCGCATCCGCCCGCCCCAAATTCGCCCGTCCAGCTAAATATCTATTAAATTTTGGACCATTATGAATTTAGGTGTAATTTTAGAGATTATTTTATAAATTTTAATATTGTATAATATATAACATATAATTTAACCAAATATTAAGGATATTTAGTCTTTAATCTGGTCTTTAATTAGGGAAATATTCGGCTCTTTGATTAAACAAATAATCCCACTAACCACGTCACTTTCCATGTTCTTTAGCCCATACTGCCCATCCAAACACAAATTAATCGTACTATATGCATTAACATCAAAAGCATCAGTTTCCATGTTCTTTAGCCCCTCAAAACTCATATTAGGCGCACTATGAGCATTAACATCGAAAGCAACTCAACAATCCAGCTCTGCGACTACATGCTCCCTACAATTTGTCTCCATAACATTCGTAGAGCCACTCCTTTGACAAATTGAAGCATGCGTTGCTACCCAATCACGAACTGTCTGGGAATCAACTCCAACATCCCATTAGTTTGTTGTCAGGCGGATCTAGATGGGTATGTCGCTAGTGGGTAGTGGGTGTGGGGATGGATTTAAAAATGTACCCGCGTGGGCGGGTGTGGATTTAAAAATTTGTACCCATCATGGGTGGTGGGCGGATGATGGATTGAAAAATATTAGGTAGGTATGGGGATGGGGGAAGAGATATCCGCACCCGACCCGCCTGTTTGCCATCCCTAATTAAGATATGGTCTTCTTAATATCCCGAAAGCACATTGAAAGTGCTAAAAGCTAAGCGAAATACAATACGTTCTTTGACGAAAAAGATTGAAAATTACAGCTAAGACCGTCTCTCCTCTTAATTTCATCCTTATCTTCACTCATTCCTTGATGTATTACATTATTGGCTTTTTTTTATTCTTTTAAAATAATTATAAAAAAAACCACTTGTTGGACAGAATATTGTGTTATAAACCATAATCAATTTATAAAAATATTCAACCGATTATTTAAAAAATATTATTATATATTTTAAGAATAATCTGACTAATTATAAAATAATATTTATTTAAAAAGATTATTAACCATTTGACAATAAATATTTAAATATCCCTGTAAACATATCAAGCTAAAAATCTCTATAAATAAAACTTACTCTTAATAACTGAAATTGTTTAATTTGTATGATATTTTATGTTTGAATATAAATAAAAAATAACCACGTCAGCATTATTAGGAAACCAATGCTATTATATTGTCAGTCCAGATTAGAGATGGACACACAACCCGAACTCGACCTGATCGGGTTGAAGTTTTTTTAAAAAATGGGATTTGGGTCGGATCAATTTTTTTAAGTGTGATATTTAGGTTGAGTCGGGTTCGGATTTAGGGTGAAAAAATATATAAGTTTACCTTATATATTCATGTATAATTACAATAATACCCCTCTATATATAATTTTTTTTCAATTAAATCACTATTTTTATTGAATAAAAATATTTTTTTTATTATTTCAGGTCGGGTCCGATTTCTAAGTCATATATTCGAGTCGGGTTGGGTGAAACATTGTTTTTGTCGGGTCGGGTCTCGGGTGGAGTCTCCCTTGTTCTCGAGTCGAGTCGGGTGGATCAAAAACCCGACCCAACCCGACCCATGCCCATCCTTAGTCCAGATCCACTTGTGTCATTACCTAATGCAATGAAAATTAGTAAAATATGAGAATGTAGAGTAAAACAAAATCAATTAGCAAACAAATAAATAAAAATTAAACAAACCATTGCCAATTCACAACAATAATTAATTAGAACCGACTGACCAAAGTCTAACCGACCGAGTCATCCAGCAAAATATAGTAATTTACTTTAGGGATATTATCACAGCTCGTATATGTATTTTAATAAATTTTTTATTATAAAATTTTTATTTTTAAAATATTTAATATGATATTTATCCTTCGAGAAGATATATAATAAAATATTTAATGTAATATCTATACTTTATTAAATATCTAGTATGATGTCTAAACTATCATTTTGTGTATACATCCTTGTAGTGGAGTTATTATGGGTCCTATCCAATCCCTACCCTTGATGCCCCTAATCCCTAGAGTTATTTAAACAATAAATAATGTGGTCGATAATGGCGTGCTATAAGAGCACGTCAATACATCTTTTTGATATAAAGGATTTCAAACAAGTTATTTTGATGTGAACTCTATATAATTATACATTTATGTTTCAATGGTAGAGTTAATAAAAAAATTTAAATTGAAAAATTGAAAAATAAAATTTAAATATTGAAGTTAGATGAGATTAAAGTTGAGTGGTAAAATTTATAATTAATAATTTTAGAAAAGGTAAACTATATCAATAGTGGTTAATATTTGAATAAATTTTTGTTTTATTCACTGAAGTTTCAAAAGCAATAAATTGACCACTAACATTATCGATTTATAACAAATCGATCATTAACATTAACTGCCGTTAATGTGAGTGATGGTAAGCTGACTAGACATGTTAACTGCTGATTTGACACAATTTAACTATCATTTTGACTGTTCTTTCTAATCTATCTCCATACTTCTTTTATCTCTTAAAAACTACAATTTGTGGAATACCCTGTCACTAAATTCATGGAAGACACTCCCCTCTTCTGTCACCATTTTTTTTTTTCATTGTATAAATCACTGTTCATCTCATCACTTACCCATTAAAACAGTAGGAAAAAAATTCTACTGGTGCAAGTGGTGGTGGTTGCACCATGGATTGTGAGAAGACATGCACGACCTTCTGTTAGGAGGGTAATCTACTAGCCTTTTATACTAAATATTTGAGGAATAATTTTTACCTCTTGTTATCTACCCAATTCGACAGTATAAGCTTATAATTAAACTGTTAAATGGATAAATACGTAGTTCACTTAAAAAATAGATTTTGAGATATATTTGATATAGTAAGTGATCAATTATCATATTAATTTACATCGATCTTCATTTTCGGACGCATTAGATTTTCAAATACAGTAAAAACTTCACAGGAAGTGGCATTGAAAACAAGTTACAAAAGATATGTGCAACAAAACAAGGTTAGAGATATCATACACCATGTGGATGATGAGGGCATTGCATTGAATCATGCTGGGAACAAAACAAACCTGGGTAACCCATATGCTTACAATTGATTCGGGACAGAATAATCTGATTCCAATGAAGTAGAAGATCTACACAAACAAAAGAAATTTCATTAAAATAGTCAGGATAAATGGAGAGAAATATCTCTCAACTTCTGAGCAAACTTCAACTGCAGTCACGATGTTCTCAAGCCTTCAGCAGTACAAACAACATCCCTTTCTTAAGCCTTTTGTGTTTTTCCTCTAAGAGCGGTGCATGTGCAGATAGTGAAGATTGAAGAGGGAAGATTAAAGAGAAATTTTGGGTTTTGAGATGTTAAAAGAAGCATAGAGATTGAGAAAGAACGGTCAAAATGGTAGTCAAATAGTACCAAGTCAGCAGTTAACATGTCGTGTCAGTTTTTCGTCACTCACAATAATGGCGGTTAACGTCGAGGACCAATCTGTCATAAATAGATAATATTAGTGACTAATTTGTTACTTTTAAAACTTTAATAGAAAAAATAAAAATTACTTAAACATTAGTGACCATTAGTTTAATTTACTCTTTAAAATTTAATAAAGGTGAAGAAAAGAAAATATGTTAGTATCCCTTTGAAAATAGAACGTCGGTAGCAAAATTGAAAAGAAAAAAAAAGTTTCCCGCCGAGTGAGCAGTTGAGGGAAATCAAAAGAAAAAGAGAATGGGAAAGAAGAGAAATGCAAGCACAATGGACGACGTTGATCGGTTGTTCGAATGCTTCAGATGTGGCATCTCTCCTCCTCGTAAGCTCTTCTCCCTTTTCTTCGCAATCCTTTTGTTGTATCGTTGTTGTTTAGTGAATTACACTGCAAAATTACTTTGAAATCGAGTAGTCGACGATGATAACCCTGGAGCGTGATACTTCATCAAATCGTTTACGAGAGTTTCATTAAAACTTTCACTGGAATTAGAACATTATTTGTAAAAAAAAAAGTTTCAATTAGGGTAATGTATTTATGTTTTTGCAATCTTCATCATCGTTGCATATTAAATTAGTCTATTAGTTGCTACTACTGATTCTAGTCCACTTCAATTTTACGCGAATTTAATGTGTTGTACAAATTAAACAAAAAAAGATAGGGGATAATTAAGAGTCTTGATTCCCCCCCCCCCCCCAAAAAAACAGAATCTGCTGTAAGGGAAAGAAAAAGATGTAAAAGCAAGCTGAATCGAGAAAATTCTACAAGAAAGATCTCCGTGTCACCTTGTTCGCCTTCCCTATCAGAACAAAGAAAGGAAACTGCAACCAGTGCACAACTCTCTGTCGAAAAGGTATTTGATTTAAATTGCTTTTGTTTTATTTAAGTTTATAGCTTATTGGGAGTTGGGACACTATTTTGGTCGAGTACAGGGAGGAGTTAAATTCATTTCACCTGATGGATTCGCTTGAAATTTGACTTTGTTTTGAGTTAATAACAGAAGTCTATAATTTAGACTCTTTAACTTGTTTGTCACCAATTCTTTGTTTCTTGGCTACGGTACTGCAGAAATTGACTTAACTTTATGTTTCCTTTAGTCTGCTTCAACAACAGTTAAGCCTGGAAAATTTAGCCGTGGGAAACAGTTCTCACCAGTTATATTTTATGGGTCTCCACATGGCATTCCTCCAAAAAGACCATTGAGTTTGCTGCGCTTGTTACGTGAAATTCACATTGATCTTAGTGAACAAGATAAATCAAATTTAAGGTAGTTATCTGACTCCATTTCAAGACTTATCAGATTCTATTAGATAAACTGTTTTGATTCAAAAGCATTCTTTATCTCTTTTCTTACTGTCCTTTTCTTCTTGACTTGGCTCTTGTTGCTCATTTTCTAGAACAGCGGTATGGGCTACATTTCCAAGACAGGATGAAGCAGTAAAGTTTGCTAAAGGACATGCAAATGCACATGTTTTTAGTTATCAAGATCACTATAGTGGGCAGAGAAGATATCTTGCTTCTACGTATGAGGAGTTTTGGAAGAGGTCTTCACTATTATTTCTTGCTTGTTCAGATTTGATTAGTTCATGAGAAATTATCCTTTTAAACTCGTTGCTTTCTGCAATCCTGTCATTCCAGGTACAAACTTATGGAATCAAACCTTCGCCATCACTATGAAGTGATTCAGGAGGTAGAAACCTCTAGATATCTTTCTTCAATTGAATGGGCATGTGAAATATTATATATTTCAGTTTCCATTCTAGCCAATTTCTATTCATACCGCTTGTCTGTGCTTGAGTAGTAAAACTTGAAATGCCCATGAGGAGATGTTTGAATCTTCTTTTTTGTCATTGGCATCATTTTGTTTATGTGGCTGTATCGTTTCTAGGGTTTCCCATGTCACTTGTACTTTGATTTGGAGTTCAATAAGAGAGACAATTTGGGAAGGGATGGAGATGAAATGGTTGATCTCTTGATTATTGTCATTCTAGAGGCCTTGCTGCAAAAATACTCTATCAACGGAAATCAGGATTGGGTGGTGGAGCTTGATTCCTCTACTGAAGGTACAGTTCTGTTCTGGTTGTCTATAATTTGTGCCCCGTAGCATTTCTGATATCTTGTATGCTTGAGAAAAACAGCTAACATCATAGAAATGTTCAGTAAATCATTTTTTTTTCAAGATGGATGATTTGCATTTTTATGGGGATTTGTTTCTTAAAATAATTCACATTGGTATAAATACTTAAATGCAGAGAAGTTTTCTCGCCATTTGATAATGCAGATACCAAATATGGCTTTCAAGGACAACTCGCATGTGGGTGCATTTGTTGCAGAGGTATGCCTTAGACTGCTTTAATATATAATTGTGTTGCTGCCACCATCAAGGGGAAACCTGCTATAGTTAATCTTCTTTCCTTTTCTCTGTTATGCATCAAAATATCAACCATCATTGCTAGTTGATGACATTTATCAGATATGCTCACGCATAGCAAGTGCAAAGGGGAAGGATGAAAGGTTTGAAAAGTTATATGTGAAAAAAGATTCAACCTCTGCCGAATCTCCTGGTCAACTTTTTGTGGACACTGCTGTCTATTCTAGAAATCGTTGCTTTCGCCTGGCTTTATCATCTAAGGCAGGAAAGAATTCCTTCCTCTTACCTACCAAGCGTTTCAAATGTAGGGACATGGTATGGTAGCTTGAATCTTGCAACTTATATTGCAGTGACTTTAATTCATGACTTGACTCTTACAGTACTTACAGATTTATTTAATTTTTCTAAAAAAATTCTCAGCGACCATTTATATATAAGTGGTGTATGTCTTATCCTTTTATGCCGGTAGAATGGGCATAAATCATAATTGTTTGAAAGTAACAGCCGATGATGACAGGTCCCATTAGTTCACCGGGGCTTAGTTTTGTCGACTAAAAGATATCTAATTCCCGTTCTTATCCCCGCATATCTTCTTTTACCAATGTTCAATGCTAAAATCCAGATTTTTCAGAAATTTACTCCCATGGAAATGTTGAATGAACACTGGTGCTGTAGGATGACTTGCCATGAAAAATTGCTAACCAGAATACTCATGTCCTTATCAGAAACTAATTGCTAAACATTTAAGAGATAGAGCTACCTTCTGACATTGATTTTAAGTAAATATATTTCGTTGAACAACAGGGTGAGGAGGACATGTTCATGGCATCCTTGATTTGCAAAATGGACATTGATTGTGAGAAGCTTTTGGTCTGCAAAATGGAATTAGATTGTGTGAAGACACTGCACTTCGAGACAGAGGTAGTCTTGAACTTTGCCTTTGGGTTTCATCACTTAACTACATTTTTTTTTTGCATTCGTATAATTTTTTGCGCACTTCGAGACAGAGGTAGTCTTGAACTTTGCTTGGGTTCATCACTTAACTACTTTTTTTTTGCATCGTATAATTTTTGCTACAACTTACTTGCAACTTCCAATATTTTTGCTTCAAAAGGAAGCCAACCTTCAAAGCAATCAGCATTTTAAATATTGTTATTTACCGCCCAGAGGCCAGAATCTTCTAAGTTCTCTTTCTGCAGAATAGAGTCTTTTACTTTTGTATTGAGACGTCATCCATTCACCATCAGCGTTCTTCTGCTATGCAGGTAACTAGTACTTTGGAAGTATCACAAAGCTCAAGAAAAATTGGCATAGTGATGTTTCTTCAACATACCAAACAGGAAAAGTCGCCCTTCCCTTGTTTGGATGAATTTATAATCTCAATGCCTCCACCAGCAATATACCAGGTAGCAATTGAATCAAGCATGTTCCAGTACCGTTATTTTGATTCACCTTCCACATTTGAGCAAGAACCAACAGGATGATCTTGTTCTTGCTTGAGTTTTGACATATGTACTGTGGCTTGGAGCACGTAATTCCATGTCATCTCGTTAACTAGAACTAAATGCTGTAGAAATTTGTTTGTGTTTTAACTTTATTGTTTTCCTATGTTCATAAAACCAATAGTTCTATAGTATCATCCATCGTTTTATACACAGCTTTCAATGCTTAACAAAAACTGTTATTTTCTTCACAAATGAATACTGACTACTGATCAATTGCTGTGATTATAGGGAAAATACGCTGTTGGTATTGGTTCTCTGAATATGGTATCACAAAGCTCAAGAAAAATTGGCATCAGTGAGTGTTTCTTCAACATACCAAACAGGAAAGTCGCCCTTCCCTTGTTTGGATGAATTTATAATCTCAATTGCCTCCACCAGCAATATACCAGGTAGCAATTGAATCAAGCATGTTCCAGTACCGTTATTTTGATTCACCTTCCACATTTGAGCAAGAACCAACAGGATGATCTTGTTCTTGCTTGAGTTTTGACATGTACTGTGGCTTGGAGCACGTAATTCCATGTCATCTCGTTAACTAGAACAAATGCTGTAAAATTTGTTTGTTTTAACTTTATTGTTTCCTATGTTCATAAAAGCCAATAGTTCTATAGTATCATCCATCGTTTTATACACAGCTTTCATGCTTAACAAAACCTGTTATCATTTTTCTTCACAAATGAAATACTGACTACCTGATCAATTGCTGTGATTATAGGGAAAATACGCTGTTGGTATTGGTTCTCTGATATGGATTGGTTGTCTATAGCATGTCAAGAAATCGATACTGTGAAAGATTGGTAGAGAGCATAAAAGCAATCACGGTATGCTTATTTTGTTTAATCTTATGTTCTCAGTCCATAAGTCAACATTTTAACCTAACAAACATACATACAATACCTCGAGTCGAGTAGAGTGCTGTCAAATCCTCAGAATATTAAGAAGTTAATTACTAGAGTACGCTGCAATGATAAGTTTGCATCTTCCGTCGATGACAAAATTTGTCTCTATTGTATGCTTTAGTGTGTATGTTGTTGACATGAGAAGGGAATCTTATTATCAGAAGTGTTATGATCCAGATTGCAAAGGTTTGGAAAACTACTATCTTGTCATTAGTATTCCTTTCTATGCATGAATGACAATTGCAAAATCACTGATTATCACAGGTTACCATCTCCTCTGCGTCCAATCCCGACGGATTGCATCCCTGATTCTTCTTTTTTTTTCAATTCAACTCATATGGTTGATGATGATTGTCTGTTAACAAGTAACAATCTTGAATACCGATTTGTCACAACCATGAGGGTAGAGTTTTGCTCTATGGTAACGAAGGTGATTTGGACTACTATACTAAGATTCATGGTGGCATAAGCTATAAAAGTCGCAGACACTATTGAAAGTAAGCCGGAAAGATTGATGCTCGATGACATGGTTAGTTTACCTAAAACACTAATGATTATGTTGCTGATCAACCTTATGGTATTGAAGGAATGTCTTTTACTTGTTTGTCAAAAACTATTTCAAATCTAACACCAGGAAAAACATGAGTGATGAAGAAGATGATGATGGTGGATGGCAGCGGAAAGGACAGCGACGCAGGTCGAACTTACACACGTAGATTAATTAAGGATGGATCCGATTGATAAACGTTCGTATCTAACACACCTGAGTACAAAACAATATAGAATGGCTCGCTCATCTACAAGTTGATCGTAATTGTACATATTTAGATTGATGTTAAACCATCCACGCGGTCTTTCTTTTTATTATTGTACGAATGAAATTTTGTCCTGATAGAGGTGGAGTTACGAGACAAAAAGGCTTTGTTATGGTATGCTCATTACTTGGTTCAAATTAATTTGAACGTTGAAGTTCTAAATTAGCAATAACCATTTTATATTTAGGGTAAAATATACAAGAGGTCTTATAAAATGATCATTTAATTGTCTCAAGAATGATTTTTTTTAAAAAGGCCAAGTTTAAGGTCGTCTCTTTCAGTCTGGGGATTTTCCAATTTTCAACAACCATCTGTCTTCCTCTCCTCCCCAATTCCAATTCTTCCAAGCTCTCACAATGGCAGCCAGTCCTACCCCAATCTTCATTTCCTCCGACTCTCTCCACGCATCCTCACCCACACCGCCTTAATCAACCACTTCCACTCTTCGCTCCCTGCCGTCTCCGCCGCCATCACCACCCAACCCGTCAAAGCTACACCGTTTCACCCTCCGCCTCCCTCCTTCTCATGCCCTCCTGGTCTTCATCCCCTCTCTCCTTACATAGGCGTCAAGCTCGTCACTTGTTTCCCTCAAAACTCCACCCTGAACTTACCCGGTATCCAAGCCAATTCGTCCTCTTCAACTCCACCACCGGTCAACCTTTGGCATCAATGGACGAACCGTTCTGACCCTTTTTAGAACCGCTTGCGTATCAGGCTTGGCTTCCAGGATATTAGCCAGGAACGACAGCAAAGTCCTCGTGATGATCGGCGCAGGCGCATTGGCACCTCATTTGATCAAGCCCACTTAGCAGCAAACCCCACTTTGCAAAGGGTAAATCTGGAACCGTACGATCAATAAAGCCATCGATTTAGCTCAGAATCTGCAAAGAAGCAACGAACACGAAGGGGTTTGTTTCGAGACCATGATCGTTGGAAGAAATCATTCCATTGGGTGACATTATCAGCTGTGCTACGAACTCTGAAACGCCGCTCGTTAAAGGGGAGAAATTGAAACCTGGGGCCCATTTGGATTTGGTGGTTCGTATAAGCCTAACTGAAGGAATGCGATGATGAGGCGATAAAGAGGGGGAGGGTCTATGTCGATAATGCGGAGGCGCTCGTGGAGGCCGGTGAATTGGTGGGTGCTTTGGAGAGAGGGTTATTGGGAAAGATGAAATTTGTGGTGAGTTGGTGGAGTTGATCCAAGGAAAGAAGACTGGGAGGAGGGATTGTGAAGAGATTACTGTGTTTAAATCTGTTGGTTCGGGTGCTGTCGACGTTTTAGCTGCACAATTGTGTATGAAGCTCTTGTGAAGAACACGTGTTAGCAGACGTGTTACCTTTTCTTTGCTTTTCTTCTGGTTCTGTGTTCTATGGAACCTGTTCTGTTTAGAGCTCCAATAAATGAAGTTTTATTATTGAGGTTTTCTTCTATTAGTCTCAAAAATATGTCATTGATTCCAATATCAACATTTATTAATAAATTTAAAAAATATTAATACATCCTACTAGGCATAATATATTTTTCGGAAGAAAAGTGATATGCTCATGATAGTTATGTATTTTACTAAAATACATCAAAATTTAAACATGGGTCCATAGACTATTTTTAAAAAAAAAACAGAAAAGTGGTTTAAATGAAATTTGAAAGGCAAATCGGGGCTTATTCTTCTAAATGATGAATGGAATTATATGTTTCACTCCTCGTCTGAGCCTGAACCTTCAGAGCTTGAGCCTTTCCCATTATTTTGCACTTTGCCGTTAGCTGCATGACCCTGCTTTTTTGTATCCTTCTCGTCTTCGCTGTACTCACTCTCATAATCATCATCGTAGTCCTCTGTTCTCTTCTTCCTCTTCGATTCTGTCCTCCAGAAGAGGTCCTTCTTCCGATAAATGACCACCACGGGTGCCGACTCGTGTTCTTTTCAGAACTTTAACCTTCAAGTTTGTCTTTATATCGCAACCTATCCAGGAGTCACAGGCAGTAACAAGTCAAATTGTAGTTCCCTTCCGTCGGGGGGGCGGGGAATTTTCCCCATCACCAATCGGGAGCCACCTTGAACCTTCTCTTTAGTTCTTTTAACAGATTCCCTCATCTCCTTAGCACTTGCTCCTGAAACCTCCATCGTCTCCTGAATTGCTTTCGAGGCGGCGGTTATTGCTGCTTCATCCATGAAGCTCACCTTCTGGGAGAAACCACACATTGTTTGAGACAGCATCTGCAAGCAAAAACCAGAAATTCTCTTCCTTGTGGAACGGGAAATAAGGGGCATGGGGAAGAGCACCGATCAGGCCATTGCCACGCTCAAGTTTTATCCAAGCTTGAACTGTCACAACGTCCCCCTCCTGTATACCTTCTTCACCCTCGGTCTCACATGTAACGTCGATTGTTAGGGAAGGCATCATTTCCTACCATCTCAAAATCTTGTACTTCGGCAGAGAAAACCCAGCAATTTGTGTTAGAAGTTGAGCACGATCCTCCATAGTCATGTCTCGAAGGTCTTGAAACGTTCTCACCTTCTGCAAACAGAGAATAAATAACTCTTAACCGTGGAGATAGGTTTCCCTAAGCAATCCAACTTATACAAAACATGTAAGAATCGTTTCTTTGTAGTTTGTACCATAAATCAGAGACAGATCCGAGGAATATGTGGCATATGGAAAATCTTGAGCACAAATTATATTGAAGTTTTGGGTATATTACCCGATTCCAATTTCAACATCTACAATATCTCAACTATAGAGAAAAGATTGCACCAAAGCTTATTACATTAAATTTCAACATAAAATATTATGGAGATCTAGCTCCTCCATTGACAGCTAGAAGGTGAAATATTAAACAGTGCACTCTTGCAAAAACTTTCTCACTAACCTTGCGAGCGATCTTTTTACAACAGCCTCTTAAAATGTGGCAGCTGCAAGAAAGATGCAATGCCTTCAGAGGATCCCCCTGTTGCCTTTCTTGCACTGGCGGACAGCCTATGTTGCATCAATCAAATAAATAACACTGAACATTAATATGGACCAAAAAAAAAGGAATTGCAGCTTATTGACTTCTATCACCCAGAAGATGGGAAAGGGGAAAAGGCCAATCAAAGATTAAAAAGATTTTGGATTTATTTACTATGATCTTATTTAATAACTTCAGCAAGCATGTATATTAGAAACCTTAGAAGGTACAATATTATAAGCCTTACATCGAGAAAATCAAGAGAATAGAGGATAAGGGAAAAAGCAGAGGGCAAACATAGACCAACCTTTAATTATTTCATAAGTTGTTTAAGTCTACAATCTTTATTGCATTGGGAATTTTAACAGATGAAAGTTAACAACTGGCTTATGCATGACTCGAAATATAGAAACGATAAAAGACAAGAAGCTGAAAATTTTCTAAAAATAAGCACCTGAATAATACACTGAGAAAGCTCCACAACTCCAACTGCTGGCCTCAGCCATCCATGACCCTGGGCAGTACGAGGTATAAGTGCCATCTGCAACAGAGAATACATAATTAATAACAGAAATCCCACATGAAAGCTACTTAAATTAAGATCCATAAGAAGAACGAAAAGGGCATAAGGATACAAGAACACAAGCTAGCAGGCTAAAGCATGGCAATCTAGTACCATGATTTAGCATGCCCATTCTCATCTTTCAGACAAACTCATACTTGAATTTTATTTCTTGTAATACTAATTTTTTGCAGCAGTTTTTCAGATTGCTTCTTATACATTTGTACATCCATTGCTCCAGAATCTGGTCACTCATCTGACTCTCTACTTCGGTTAACTTTCTCAATTCTAATCATAGGTCCTAAATATCTAAAACCCCTAGACAGTGCAAGGATCGGTTTGACCTTTCAAATAACACTGCCATGCGCATAACCAACATGCTTTCAACTTGATTAATTTCTTACGTATTTGAAAATTATTTAACTGAACAGACAGTAGTTTCTATAAGCCAAATACTACTAGTAGTAATCTTACGTAGTAATCAGATGAAGCACAAATTGCTTCATTATAGTTGCACTTGCGAATTGGGTTAGCAGAAATTACTCAAGTATAGAGGTTTGATAATGTATCATGATCGGTCCTAGAAGTCTACTCAGACAGAAATGATAGGCAGGTGTAATCTGACCTTCAGTAATTCTTCCAGCAATCGCGGTGCAAGTTCTAGCATGCGCTTGTAATCACCAAGCAGAGCCGGAGATAAGGTAGCTGATTCACCGGTTAATTGTGCCTGAATCAACAACTCAGTCTGCATAGAAAATGGCACAAAAGCAATCATAAGAAACTCTGTAAGGAATCAGAATAAATAAGTATATTTTCTCATTACAAATAAATCTCAGCAGACAGCATATAAGTACACCTTCACTATAGCCGGATGCTGCTTCCAAAATTTAGCTTGCTCTTGCTTAATATTCTTAAGGTCAAGATTCAACTCACTCCTAACTGACATAAAAAGCTTCTGGAGAGGTTCATCATCAGTCCTACGAAGAATCTCCATGTATTCAGCAGCCTTAGTGAAGACTTCCATGACTTTGCTGTAAAGCAGGTACCGCAACAAATCAAATCATTTTGCAAAAAATTATACAAACAACTCCACAAATCCATACAGTGAGGGGATTAAAAAGGCTAAAAACAAAAGGTATGAGATTCAAAAGAAATATAAAATCAAGGAATTCTGCAATCTAGGGTGATGGCACCTGAATACATAACTTCATATGCTCAAGGTACAACATGATTATAACCAAAGCTTCAGTAAAGCACGTGTACATTTAACTAGACATCAAAGAAAGAGGAAGGGACATCATTATTCACTAATTATAGCCCCCGCCCTCAAAAAAAGGGGGGAAGAAGTACTTGCTACATGGTTAACATTAACTGCACTCTTTGGTAGCCACTCATCTGATACTCATTGATTCACAATAGAGTTTGTAGTTAATAATCATAATTGTTTAATTGAGACGAGTACCTTGGGGCCAAAGAAGGTTTCATGAAATAATAAGCGGATAGCGTTTGATGCATGACATAGTTTCCGCTATACTTTGATGACCTTGATAGATATATGACAGCAATCACCAATGGCAGGAGAATACAAACACCAACAATCCAGAGTAAGAGAATGCCACCGATGCTCCATCAATGTTCAGCAAGACTGAGGAAGAGCAATGCCCATTTGAAAACCCTGCACCAAAAAAGATATGGTATTGTCTTAACTCTTAAAGAAGGTTAATTATCTTAATAATTAGAAATTTGGAATTAAAATGACCTGCTTGTTCTAAAACATAAGAGATTAATTACTTGTCTTCCATCTGGATGCCCATATTTCTCAAAATTTTCACGGATATTAGGTCTGTGAGAGCTTGATAAGCCTTGGCTATGTACTCACACAATACTTGTGAGCCTCTGAAAATTAATATAATAAAATTGTTAATAAACAAGTGTGATCAATCATATGCTTTTTTCCATACTAAGGCTACAGAAATTCATACAACTATACAATTAAATCAGCCAACCTGGATCTGGATTTTTATCTGGATGGTACTGAACAGAAAGTCTCCTATATGCTTTCTTTATTTCCGAATCCGAAGCTCCAGGTTCCAACCCAAGTATACTGAAAGGCTCAAAAAACTTGAATCTGAATTTAAAAAAAGAAAAAGAAAAACAGAGAAGTTCACTTAGTGCGACTCAAATATAGATCTAGAACATAGGCATCACAAGAATTTAATCTGAATGATGACAGTAGCAGAATAGAAAAACAGGAACTCTACTAATTCGATTTACCTCTTGGCTAACGCTTTTAATGTAATAAACCAAGAATATCATAATAACAAAGAACCACCAGAGTCAGATTACTAAAGTTAAGACATTCGAGACCTGCAAGAACAAAAGCAACTCGTTCCAAATATGAGCATAGACCATAATGCCAACTAAAAGGCTTATCCGCCTAAATAGGGGGGGGGGGGGAACTAACAAATAATTAATGGGACAACAAAAGGCTTACCCGCCTAAATACGGATTTGCGGTACTTGCCTGAGCGAGAGCATTTTGCACACTGGCAATGAATTACCTTTGCTTTCTTGGACGCTGCTCGGCACAGCTTGACAATTGTATAGGGCACCAGAGGCAGAGCCATTATTGTTAAAATGAAAATCGGAAACAATGCACTATTCTCTTCTGAAGCAGCCATTCGACCTTCTACCTTATATAAATTCAAATCAGTTACAGCACAAGTAAAAGCAGCAATTCTATGGTAATCCACATTTCCTTCTACTATAATTAATATTAATGAAAATATTGAGAAAATTCAATTCACATAATATTT